GGGGTAGCTGCTGGAGCTCGGGCTGCTCCCAGCAGGGCTTGCAGTGTCCCAGCTACCTTCAGAGCCTGGGCAGCTGCAGCTGGGAGGCTCCAAATAGCTGTGCCAGCTCCGGCATCAGCTCCGCACCAGTGCAGTCAGGTGTGCCTCAGAGCAGGCGGTGGGAGGGGCCTGAGGCAGCGCAGCCCTGGTTTCTCCCCCACTCCTGGCACAGAGGTGATGAACCCAGAGCATCTGTTTGGAGCCAGCCCAGGCCTTGGGCAGCAGCAGCAGGCAGTGGCAGAGTGCCAACAGCTGCGCCGGGATGCATAGCTCCGGCATCAGCTCTGTGCTGGTGGCGACTGCACAGGCACCTCAGAGCAGACAGCAGGGCAGCGCAGCCCACCCCGAGGTGCCTGTGCAGTCGCCGCCAGCACGGAGCTGATGCCGGAGCTATGCAGCCCCGCTGGCTCCAAACAGCTGCGCCAGGCTCATCACCTCCATGCTGGGAGTGAGGGAGAGACCCGGGTTGCGCTGCCTCAGGCTCCCTCCCCCACCGCCCACTCTGAGGTGCACCTGCACACGCTGGTGCGGAGCTGATGCAGGAGCCAGCACAGCTGTTTGGAGCCTCCCGGCTGCAGCTGCCCTGGCTCTGGGGAGCTGCTGAAGCTCGGGCTGCTCCCAGAAGGCAGTTGGGATGCTGTAAGCCCTGCTGGGAGCAGCCCAGGCTCCGTCACTGGCAGCAGCTACCCAGAGCTGGGGCTGGCTGTGGCATGCCAAGCAAAATGGCCTCAAGTGCCACTCTTGGCATGCCTGCCAGGGTTTGCCAATCCCTGCCCTATAGTATAATCTGCCTTCTTCTTCCTTCTCCCAGACAACTTCCACTGACCATTCCCTACAGCCTATGTCTCCCACAATATTCCCCAAGTGCATCTCCTCATATATCCTCCACTGCCCCTAATCTATTCCCCATAAAATTCCTTTATCCTCTTCACCTTAAAACTGGAGGGGAGTTGTAGGGTAGCTACCTAGACCCCCATGGCACCTCTCAGATCACATTTTTCATGCTTCCCAAACACAACAAACTACTGTGCTTTTTCCCTGCAAAGCAGAAAACCATGACTTACTGAAACTCTGAGTCCCTGTCCCTTTCCATGTAGTGTAGTCAGAACCAGATGCCTGTTTCCACTGGATCATGACAGAAGGGGAGGTCAGATGAGCGCTGATGTCTGAACAGAGCAGACTACAGCAGAAGATTAAATTCTGTACTTCCTGTTGGGTGTATATGTGGCTGACGTTGGTTTCTTATTCCCAATCCTGGTTTCTTTTTCAAAGCTAATCCTTATGCAATGAAAGGATGTTAGTAATGAATTATATAAAGAGTCAAGAGTTCATAAAAAAAACTTCTTTAGTGTCTGAGTCACCAGAGTCTGGAATAGACTCCCCCCAGAAGTGGTACAAGCGCCTACTCTGGATACCTTTAAGAAATGCCTGGATGTTTATCTTTCTGGGGTGATCTAACCCCGGCTGACTTCCTGCCCCTTGGAGTCACTGGGTGTTGGAGAGGAGCATCCACACCCTAAGGATCCTGGATAAGCCCCCAAATGTAACCCTCGCCAGCACACTAGGCTGGGTGATATACCAGATTCTAGATCCTCAGGGTGCCGGTAGCCCTGGGAACCCCCTCAGGCAGGGCTGCTGACTGAGGTGTCTCTGTCCCTCAACCTCACTGCCCAAGAATTTACTTTAAGTCCAATAGACAAATGGGTTTCTTTATCATACATAACTATATACAGAAATGATTAATCAAGAGAAGAAAGTATATTTTCTAATATAATAAAGGCCTAAGTCTGTAATGCTTTATCATGCTCTGATTGGCTGACATGACGGTGGGGACACAGGGGACACAGCGGGGGGTGAATTTACAACTTCAACAATCAATGAATAATTCCACCACACTGGGTAGTTCCACTTGCATCAAACAACCTCAATGATTACATTCACCTAGCTATAACATTTTAAAACAGTTCCCCCCACATAACCCAGGTTGATTTCCCTCTGGTCACACTCTACTTCCCATAACAATAAATGGCAATATAGCTTTAACTATTGTGACAGTCTTTTGTCAACTGGATGAATATGTCTATGATTGTAAGTGTAAACCTTTGTTGAATCCTGCCCCCTCGGGGCATTGTAGTGTCCCCTATATCCCCTGGTTTATACTGGTTATATTCCCAGTATTGTTCTCTCATTAAAAGGTATATGGTTAAGTCCCCATTGGTGGTCTGGCTCTGCTCTATAGGGGGAGGAGAGTCCCTACACCTCCCACAGTGCTTGTGCACCTGCTTTGATCCCTTGAATTGGAGAGGGGGTACCTCTTGGAGTACTGCCCAGGTTACATTTTGGGGGCTCGTCTGGGATTCCCACGTAGTGGGTGCTAGAATATTATTCAAGTGCTGCGTACCCCTGTAGAGAGACAGCGAGCCACCAGGAGACATGTCCAATGCTGACCAGTCTGCCATACCCTCCGGGAGTGACGGGACTGTGCAGGGGGGAGCGGTGCAACCTGCTGGGACTGAGGCTACCCCGGAATGGGTGAGGGTTTTCCAGAAGATTCTGCGGGAGGTGACCCATTCCTCCAGTGACCAGGCAGCCTATAAGAGACTCCAGAGTTTCTCGGGAACCCTTCCAGTCCCTGCAGGGGAGGAAGGATTTGACTCTTGGCTCTCCCATATTCAAGAGACTTTACTGACTTGGCAAATACCTGATGAGGATAAGCGACGCCGTCTGCTGGAGGTCCTGAGGCAGCCTACCTTTGGGGTTGTGACGACTGCCAAACTCCAGAACCCTGCTATCACCACCCAGCAATGCGTGCAGGTCCTTCAGGATGCTTTTGGCCAACCCACAGGGAGTGGTGGGGCGTACTACGAATTGCTGGGAACTTTCCAGCGCAAGGGCGAGACTCTTTCAGCTTATGTCCTGCGCTTAGAGACGGTGTTACAACACCTGGTGACCCAAGGAGTCACTGACACCGATCAGATAGGGCTCCGGCAAATTCGTATTGGGGCATGGTATAGCTTGGACTTACTCCGGAACCTCAACTTAGCAGGGAGCAGGAGCAACCCACCTGACTTCAGTCACCTCCTCCGAGAGATTCATAAAGAGGAAGGGATATCCAGACTCAGAGAGACTATGTGGGTCCCAGAGGATGTTTCCCCCCGGAGAGGACCCATGGGTCGGGTGCTAACAGTGGCTCCCCATGAGGACATCTTGTTGGGAGTGGGGGAGGAGCCTGTGGCTCCAGCACTAGCAGCTGCCGTGGCCAGAACTGCCCCTCCCCACCCCCAGGGGTAAGACCTCAACCCGTCATCGTGCTTCGGGAGGACCTCAACCCCATACCCGCTCTAGGGCCTCAGGGTTCTGCTATAGATGTGGGGAACTGGGGCACATGGCTCGGGAGTGCACCCAGCCTGAGAACCCTGAATTGGTATTTGAAAGGTTAAAAGGGTGGTGGGCAGTGGGAAATAGGGAAGGAGCAGAGCAATGGAGTCAGCTCCGTTCTGGACCCAGACAGACTCCCACACATTACCCTCAGTAAATTCACTGCCAAAGGGGCTAGTGGGACCCCATGCAGAGGTCCCTATGACTGTGAATGGTTGCCTGTGCCAGGCCATTCTAGACAGCGGGTCCCAGGTTACTATCCTATTTGAATCCTTCTATGAAGAACATCTGAGACACTTGCCTTTGCTTCCCCTTATGGGGCTGGGACTTTGTGGCTTAAGCCAGGAACAGTATCCTTACAGGGGTTATGTGAATGTGAGGCTAAAATTCCCTGCTGAAATAGCTGGGGTGGAGGAAGAAGTGTCAACCATCGCTCTAGTGTGCCCTGATCCTGGGTGGATGAAAGGGCCATTCTCATTGTAGGGACCAACTCCAGCCTTTTCCAGGTTCTTGCTCGCTACTGTAAATAACAGGCTGGCCCAGGTTACCAACAATGGTTAACGATGCATGCCTTGTGCTCAGAGGCATATGACCGATGGGAGCATAGAGAGATGTGGGGTCACCCTGAGGTTGTGGGGACCCTGCACTTCTCTGGAGCAAAGCCCCAGCGAGTCCCTGCACAGGGCCAATGGGCTTTGCCTACTGTATGCAATTGGATTGAGAGGGAGGAAAAAAATAAGCTGCTGGTGGTGGAGACCCCCACCGGGAGAGAGAGACCCAGTGGTGTGATCGAGACAAAAGGGCTCAACCAAGACCCAGTTACAGTGATAGTGGTTAACCCAACCTTGAAAGATATTGTGGTTCACCCGGGACAGAAGGTGGCCTTGATAAAGGAAGCTGAAGTGGTGAGCCCTGAGCAGGAGGGAAAACCCCCTCCAATTGACCCTTTGAGGTTCTTTTTCAGGAACTCTGGGAACTTCCTGGTGCCCGAAGCCTGTAAAGCTCAGCTCAGGGACAAACTCAGGGCTTGAGCCCATGTTTTCTCTCTGCATGACTGGGATGTGAGGGAGGCTAAGGGGGTGGAGCATCACATTCGTCTGAGCAACCCATGACCCTTTTGCGAAAGGTCTCGGTGCATTCTCCTCACTGAGATGGGGGAAGTAAGACATCCTCTGTAGGAGCTCATGGACCACCGCATCATCACAGAATCTAAGAGCCCTTACGCCTTTCCCATTGTGACTGTGCGGAAGAAAAACGGCCAACTCCGTATGTGTATTGATTACTGGACTTTGAACGCCTGGACCATCACTGATCAATACACTGTCCCAAGGGTGCAGGCGACTTTGGACTGTTTAGTAGGGAGCAAATGGTTTTCGGTATTAGACCTCTGCAGCAGGTACTACCAGATACCTCTGTGGGAAGAGGACAAAGAGAGGACTGCGTTTATTTGCCCCTTGGGATTCTATCAGTTTGAGCGAATGCCCCAAGGGGTATCTGGGGCTCCCACCATCTTCCAGAGACTAATGGAGAAGGTGGTTGGGGATATCATGTGACCCAAGTACTGGTTTATTTAGATGATATTATTGTTTTTGGAAAGACCCTGGAGGAACACGAAGAACGGCCACTCTGGGTACTCGATCTGCTGGAGACTGCTGGACTAAAGGTGGCCGTTGGTAAATGTAAGTTCTGCCAGGCCTCTGTGAAGTATGTAGGACATATTGTATCACAGGAAGGGGTCAGCACTGATCCGGAGAAAGTAAGTGCTGTGACCACCTAGCCTCGACCCAAGAACTTTTGGGAATTGAAAAGGTTCCTGGGATTTGCAGGTTTCTATCGGCGATTCATTAAAGACTATGCTACAATAACTAGACCTTTAAATGCCCTGACTCGTGGACACCAGGTGGGAAGGTCACCCCGCAAGAAGTGGCGAGACAGTGGCTTAAATGGGCTTCCTGTGACATGAAGCCCCACAGAGCCTTTTGGTCCCTGGTGGGACTCACGGTGTGAAAATGCCTTCGAGGAGGTGATCCGGCGGTTGACTCAGGTGCCTCTGCTGGCATATGCTGACCCCAACTGCCCTTTTATTTTGCACACGGATGCTAGCCTGTCAGGACTGGGGGCTGTACTGTACCAGGAACATGATGGACACTGGCGACCAGTGACTTTTGCCAGCAGGGGATTGTTACCCAGCGAGATGCACTACCCAGCACATAAGCTTGAATTCCTGGCCTTCAAGTGGGCTGTCACTGAGAAATTCTGGGACTATCTTTATGGGACTACCTTCCAGGTGTGGACAGACAATAATCTCCTTACCTATGTGCTCACCAATGCTAAGTTGGATGTGACCGGCCAACTTTGGATCGCGGCACTAGCCAGCTACACCTTCAGCCTGCACTATCGAGTGGGACGAAAGAACGTGGATGCTGATGCCCTGTCTCGACAACTCCCCAGCAACCCTGGGAATGTTTGGAGCCCCGAGACAGTGAAGACCATTTGTGACCTGCAGCTACAAGACCCTGTGGGGACGAGGGAAAGTACTGTTTGCATGGCTGAAGTGTTGGGGTTGCCCCCTGAGGGGATCCCGCAGGCCTGGGTTCAGTACACCACGTTGACTCCCTCCTCGTTGCCCCAGGTCACAGCCACGGAATGGCGGACAGCGTGAGAACAGGACCTGGATGTGCGAGAGGTGCTGCGTGCCCGGCGATTAGGGAATACCCACCCCGCAACTCTTAATAATGCTACCCCAGCAGCCCACCTCCTGTTGAGGGAGTGGGAGAGGCTTCGCTTGTTTGATGGAGTGCTACATCGGGAGGTGCAGGAGGATGGAAATATTGGCATCTGGTCCTCCCTCAGAAGTATAAGGCCCTTACATTACGGGCCTTGCATGATGACTTTGGGCACATGGGGGTGGAGAGCACCCTGGCGCTAGCCTGTGAGCTGTTCTTTTGGCCCAAAATGGCTGAAGACGTAAGGACTAAATGCTCAAACTGTGATGGCTGTGTGCAGCGGAAGACCCTGCCTGATCAAACTGCATATCTACACACCATCCAGAGCTCAAAACCCATGGAGCTGGTGTGCATGGATTTCCTAGCCATAGAAGGGGAGGGGCACCAAAAGGGGAATGTGCTGGTTGTGACAGACCACTTCACCCGATATGCCCAGGCCTTCCCTACGCGAGATCAAACAGCAAGAACAGTTGCCAAAGTGCTGTAGGAAAAGTACTTCTCTGTGTTTGGGCTGCCCGCAAGAATCCACTCCAATCAAGGGCGAGATTTTGAGAGCCAGTTGCTGCGTGAAGTACTGACAGTGGC